TACCAATCACTAGGGTCTGCTTACAGCTGTTCCTCCTCCCTTGTGTTTCCATACTTGATGGTTCTACCTATAGTCAGAAACTATAGTCATGAAAATTAAGCCTCAAAATATGACAAAACAGAAATGTTGATAGATTAAACAAAAGAAATAGGCACCATTTTTTTCAGAGTATCAAAGTTTCCCAAGTGTCGGTAATGGATTATAAAAGAAAAAAAATTAATTTATCAAGTAATAGAGAGAAAACAGAATGTACATAGACACAGATGAGTTAAGAAGGAAATGAATTATAATAATGAGATAAAAGATGATGAAAATGAACTATAATGATATAAAAGATGCTGAAAAATAAGAAGCAATTTGAGATTTAAATAGAATGAAGAACAAGAAAAAAAATGATTATGTTATCAGCCTATTAAGTATGTACTGCAGTAAAAATATTGATTATAATTCTGATTATGATTTGCTAGCCCTATTATCTATCTAAACTTCAGGATTCATCAACTGATATGATTTGCTAGTCCTATTATCTTTCTAAACTTCAGTTTTCATTAACTGTAAAATAATAAATTCATGTAAATCGATCACAATTATGAGTATGTCTGAAGGCTAACCAAAACCCTTTGAGTATCCAATGATTCCAATCTACCACAGGCAACATGAAAGAAAGGTAGGCAATGTTCTCCCACTATGTTTTACAGCTTCAGAAACTCAAAGAGGGTCTTTGGAAGTTAAAACTGATTCAGTGGCAGTTAATTAAAAATGCTTTCCACCATTGTTTGTGGGAAGACGGGACTGATACTTTCCTGAGGATATAGATCTCTCCATTTGGCAATCCTTGCCTTAGTGGTTGCAGGGCAACCTCAGGAGCCAAACAGGACAACAGACTTTGGGACACAGAGCTACAAGCAAAGGAAGGACTTTTCTCAGCTCTCTGCGAGAAGGAGACTGACTTGAGACCCCTCTGCACGTAGGCTGCTTGAGCTGACAGCCCTGATCTCTGATCTTTTGCTACTCCAG